ACAGTAACACATTCTTTTAATACGTTGAGGTTGAAAATAACTTTTGTTAAAACTGTTCTAGATGTAGACTGTAACAACAACGTCTGTTGCTGATATCTTTCTAAGAGCATTTTAGCAACTACGCAGGCGAACAATAAGTAGAAAAATGTTATGTAAAGTTGAAACATGTCTCCAAAATATCTATTGTATAATACTATTGGTCCAAAATTGCCGATAAGAGATACCGTAAATAACACAAAGCTGGTGCAATATACTAAAACTGTTAAGATGATGACCACTAAATAATACCGATGATTGGAAACTCCCGAATCAACTTTGTCTAGATATTCCAGCAACTGAAACCACCTTTTTCTTTTGAAAATTGTCAGATTAATAAGAGCGTAGAAGCAATAACTATACATAGTAATTAGCCTCACAAACTGAAGAAAAACTATCAGAAAGTTATACCTCAAAATGGCAGTAAAATCATTATAAAAACCACGCACAGTGGATGCTGTATATAGTGACAACATGAAAATCTGTCCAACTATTTGCCAGGTGCTACATTTTCGATTTTCTACAACTGATGGGCTTATTTTAATTAAACTTCCCAGCTTGAAGAGGATACTGATTTGTTTCATATTTGAGAATTTCACAACGGAGTGATTGTCCATAATTATGTTGGATAGTTGTTATTATAATATGTAGATGTAAGTGTGGAAAACGAGTAAAAATGTCATTTGCTCAAGTGGGATTCGAACCCACGTCTCCCACTTCCAGGCGGGTATCTCACCAACTACACTGTCAGGCGATGTGATTATCTTTCTTCACTTTCCACGTTATATTGTACTGCCAAACAATTATATAATCGATGACGCTGTATAAAAAAATATTAAAACCAAAAGAACATGAATGACAGTAATTATGTTCTTATCACAATCTGTTAGATTTTTGTAGGACTATTCCAATAAAAATTGGACTTTGTGTGGGCGTTACTATGGTTATAAATGTATTGTACCGGATATATCTTCCCAGGAAGGTATTCAACTGAGAATATAATTCATGCATCACATGACCCCATTTCTTCCAAGAGAATTTATTCATGCCCTTAGTTACATGTCTATCACAGCGATAATAATTTTATTACCTTATTGTATTGAATGATTAAGAATGCATACAAAAATTATATATCAAATATCGAGGATAAACTGCATATAGATCCAAAAAAGTTTTGGGAGTATATTAACAACAAAAAAGGCCATTCGAGAATCCCCGGCTTAATGAAATATAATAATGAAGAACTCAACTCTCCGAACACAATTTTTGAAGGTTTCGCAAATTATTTTAATGGAGTCTACAAAAATTATAATTCCAACACAACTGCCAACAACTATGAAATCAATCCATCGCTACTAGTGAATATCAATAATATTTCACAAAAAGAAATTTTATCTGCTTTAAAAAGTTGTAAAAATTCGCTCACAATGGGACCTGATGGCATTCCAAGTTTTCTGTTACGAGACTGTGCGTATATTTTTGTAGATCCTTGCTTCCGGTTATTTCATAAAATATTAAATTCTTCCACTTTCCCAAATATCTGGAAAAGCGCCACTATCTGTCCAGTATACAAAAAAGGAGATGTAGCAGAAATAAAGAATTATAGACCTATCTCTCTTCTTTGCAATTTTTCCAAAGTTTTTGAATCTATAATTTATAAACATATCTATTCCTCAATTAAAATGTTTTTGTCGCCTCACCAACATGGATTTATGGAGAAACGTTCCACAATTTCAAACTTAGCCTGCTTTACACAATTTATGTCAAAAGCAATTGATAATCGTCAGCAAATAGATACTATTTATTTTGACTTTCAGAAAGCGTTTGATCAACTTGATCACTTTATACGACTCGACAAATTAAAAAGATTTGGTTTCTCAGAAGGTCTTTTAAAACTTTTTGAATCATACTTATTTAATCGTGAACAATATGTTAAATATCGCAATTACAAATCGAATATTATCAAGCTCGCCTCTGGTGTTCCGCAAGGCTCTAACCTCGCCCCCTGCTTTTCTTACTTTTTATAGATGATCTTGGAGACGTTATTTCATGTCAGAAATTATTTTTTGCAGACGATCTTAAATTGTATTTAAAAATTACCTCAACATTGGACTGCCAACAATTACAACAAAATATATGCTCAGTATGCGACTGGGCTTCCAAAAATAGATTATCGTTAAACAAAGATAAATGCTTTGCTATGACCTACTCTAGAAAAAAGGAGAACATCATTTTTCCCTATCGAATTGACAACAGTTTAATAAATAGAACTGAAAGGATTAAAGATCTAGGTATACTCTTTGACACTAAACTTCAGTTTATAGAGCACATTCATGAGATGGTATCTAAAAGTTTTAGAACGTACGAATTTATCTACAGAAATTGCCGAGATTTTAGTTATACATGAACCTTGTGTTCTCTATTCTTTTCTCTGGTGCGATCACAACTTGAATACGGAGCTTTAATTTGGTTCCCAATATATCAGATTCAGATTCAACATATTGAACACGTCCAACGTGTTTTTTTTTTAATTTCTATGCTTTCTACTTGATGGTACTTACCCAGCAAGAGGCTATGACCATTCTGCTTTACTCTCAAGATTTGACTTTTTACCTCTCCACTTAAGGAGAATTATAATAATAATGATAAAATTTTTAATACATCTTATAAATAATAAAATAGATTGTCCGTTACTTTTAGAACAACTCAATTTTTTAATTCTAAGGATTAATACTAGACAAAGTAACATACTCTATTGTGAATCAAGCAGAACCAACGTATTAGTAAGATCGCCTATTGCATTAATGTGCGAATTATTCAATGATATTGCCGCCTATTGTACATTTATAGTGACTGTATTAAGTTCATTACTAATTGTATTAAAAACCATTTCTGTTAAATAGGTTTATTTTTAGTTTTTTTTTTCTCTTTTTTAGGCTTTTTTGGTTTGTAATCAATATTATAATTATTTTGTTATCTTTATGTATTCACTCTCACTCTATTAATCAATTATTTGCCAATATTTCCTGTAACTGGGTGTAAATACCGTAGGAAATAAAGATTTATTATTATTATTATTATTGTGGTCTGTTGCTACCTAAATTTAAAAAATGTCAAATTTGACAAATTTTTGAATTTCATAAATTTGAGGTGGATCATCAATTTTTACAGGAGATGATCAAATACATTTTGATCAAAAATATACCATGCTCATGATAACTTTAAAACATCTCCAAGTTTTCAAAGCATTCAGCTTTGTAGTTCCTGATTAAATAAATAAAATGAAATTACGTATTCATTAATTATTTTTGAGTCACCCTGTATATGCAAATCCAAAAAATATTATTGGAATGATAAATCACAAGTACAGACTCATCATATTTTGTACATTTTCGATAGAATTTATTCACCAAAACTTTTTGAGGTGACTTAATCAGTTTTTTTGGGGGGATGACCAAATACATTTTGATCAAAAATTTTGTGTCATAATTTTGAATTTTTTCCAAAAAACTGGACGTTTCGGGTAAAAACTCAGCTCGGGGTCATAAACTACATGTGTAGGTATTTTATACAATTTAAAACCCATTTGCTAGGTACAATTTTGAAGTGACCTTAGTGGTGAGGATGATTAATAATAATAATACTTCATTTTTCTAACGGGTTTACACCCAATAACAGGGTATATATATATATATATATATATATATACAAACTTTGCTCGTTTAATAGTGTAAGATATAGTCCTCTTGCGCGAAATATTTATTTCTTTTATTTTATTTACTGATGTAAATATGTAAAAAATGCGTTAGTAAAATCAATCACTCACTGCCTTTTTCATTCTAACATCATTGTGCAATATTTCTCTAAGTCAAGGAAAACCTAATACTTTGTTGCAAAAGTTGAAGGTATTTGTCAGACGTTAAATTTCCGTTAATGAAGAAGGGGCCGCACCAAACATTAATTTTTTGGGGGTGCTGTGTATGAACCTCCTCCATCCAGTGTGGATTTGTATTGGACCAGTACCTACTGTTACGGCGATTAACATGCCCATTCAAACAAAAAGTAATCTCATCACAAAGTAATAATTCGTTTATGAAGTTGCCATGATTCTTGTACTAAATGAATTTTGCATGGATGATATTTTTCCCGTTTGAGTATTTTTGAAGTTTAAAAAATTACAGAAAATAGAACTTGAGTATTTTTAAATATAGCCCAAATTTCAAGAAGATCCAACTAACCGTTCCCGAGATATTCAACTGCTGTCATACTTTTCAACAACGCTGTATGCTGTAATAAATGAACAATTAGGTATTGCAGTATTTTCAACAAGAGGCTTCTTATGAATGAGCGAGTTTGCCATTTCCGGACTTAGCATTCTCGTCCTGGCTTTGTATATTTTTCGCGATGTTAATTTTATTCTGAATGGAATTTTCTATACACTCCTCCGCCACTGATGTAGACTTCCGTCCTCCGTGTCTTTTAATGTTAGACAAATTAGCACCAGCGTCTGCCAAAAATGTTGTCAACCTACACCGAAGGCAGTGACCAGTGAATTCTTCCGGATTTTGTGATATCAACCATTATGCTATTTTGTTTGGCATTTTGATTATAGTGTGAATTGCAATTTTCCAGATTTTCAATTATTTTTATGGAATATAGCATTGTTTTCATATCAACCAAATAATCTTTTTAGTTTTTTTTAATAATAGTCGTTGTTATATTGGATAGGAACAATCTGGAAGGACTGGTTTTTTTGGTGTGTAAATTTCATAATTTAAGTGAACTTTTGACCAAATTATTTTAGCTGGGAACTACCATTCTTTTACAAGGGCTACAAGCTACAAGAAACAAATCACCGAAGAAGATCTGTATGGTCCTCTCAAGGACCACAAATCTAAGGTCCTAGGCGACAAACTCGAAGAGGCATGGTTAACAGAATTGAAAACATAAAAAAATCCGTCGCTGTGGAGAACTTTACGAAAAGTATTTGGTCTAGAATTTTTATTATATGGACTTATTCTTGTAATCGAAGAATTAATCGTTAGGTAGGTAACTTATTTTTTGCACAATGATCCTATCTTTCATCGCTTTTAAGAATGTGCCAGCCTTTACTCATTGGAAAATTAATGTCGTACTACACTCCGAACCAAACTTCCATTTCAAAAAATGAAGCTTGTATTTACGCGTCATTCGTAGTTTTTGCTTCCTTTTTGTACGTAATGATAGGTCATTCCTACGCGCTTGGCTTATTCCACCTAGGGATGAAAATACGGGTAGCTGTTAGTTCTCTAGTCTATAGAAAATCTCTCAAATTAAGTCAGAGCACTATAGCTGACAATACTGTAGGTCATTTGCTCAATTTGTTGGCAAACGATGTCGGCAGATTCGAGTACAACGTTGTAAACGTTCACTTTCTGTGGATGGGGCCTCTGGAAACTCTAGTCGTTTGTGCACTGACCTACTGGATGTTAGGAGCAACTGCTTTAATAGGAAACCTCTTGGGATTTATTCCTGTACAAGGTGCATTAGCAGTGTGACATTGCGATGTTATATTTTAATACAACTTGTTTTTGTAGTATACTTAGCAAAAAGAGTGTCTCTCTATAGATTGCGGACGGCACTGAAGACAGATCAAAGGGTAAAACTGATGAATGAAATCATAACAGGTGTAAAAGTTATTAAAATGTATTCGTGGGAAAAACCTTTTGCTAAGTTAGTGGAACTGGCAAGAAAGTGAGCACCTCATTAATAAAATAATCAGTTTGTACGTTAAACATAATTTGTGGATTTGTAGGTTAGAAGTAGACCAGATAAAAATTAGTTCGTACCTAAGTGGCTTTAATATAGCCTGCCGGATATTTTTAGGAAGAATTGCAGTTTTCTTCTGTATTCTAGTTTATATTTTAACTGGTGGTAACTTAGAACCTCAGCACGTCTACGTCTTGACTTCATTCTACGAAATTACACGTCTAGGAAGTGTAATTTTCCTCCCAATGGGTATGATGCAAATGGGGGAAACTATAACATCTGTGAAGAGAATATTGGAATTCTTGAAACAACCAGAAATAACTAGTATTAAAAATTCCAATCACGAAGGTATCAAAATGAATTACGTATGCGTCAAATGGGACAAATTCCCAAAGAACACTTTAACTAACATAAACTTAGATATTAAGTCTAACCAACTAGTGACCTTGATTGGAGCAGTTGGTAGTGGTAAAACCACCCTTCTGAATGTAATTTTACAAGAAATTCCTTTACTGGAAGGATCCGTTGAAACAGGATGCACCATTTCGTATGCCTCTCAACAACCATGGCTGTTTTCGGCAAGCATTCGAGATAATATTCTTTTCGGAGAAAAATTTTATGAAAGTAAATATGATCAGGTCACTAAAGTTTGTTCTCTGGAGCACGATTTTGCCCTTCTTCCTTTTGGCGATCGAAGTCTTGTAGGAGAACGAGGAGTTATGCTAAGCGGAGGACAAAAATCCAGAATTAATTTGACCAGGGCTATATATAAAGACGCTGATTTATACCTTTTAGATGACTCTTTGTCAGCAGTTGATGTGCATGTAGGAAAACAAATCTTTGAGAATTGTATTAGGAATTATTTAAAGAATAAAACGACGATCTTAATTACTCACCAAATACAGCATTCAGACAATACTGACATTGTCTATTTAGTTGAAAACGGGAAGATAATGTAAGGCGGGACATTATTAGAACTTAGAGAAAAAAATTGGTCTAAAGAGTTTAGACAGTACTTCCCTCGCTGTCGGAAACTTGACGACTGCATGCCTATTGTGTTTTTTTTTCTCATTACATTTTTGTAGTCGGAATTTAAAAAAAAAATGCGATGACGTCATCAACATTTTTGCAAGGACACATATATCAGTTGGGATAGATGTAGTGTAATACTAAGAATAAATTTATTATATTCTCAAATTTTCGGGAAAATGAATTGGGTCGTTTTGAATATTGATTTGTAATAATCAATAAAATAACGAAACAATTTACTCACGTATACGTATCAGAGGCAACTGAAAATCGTGTATGTATAAACACTCTTAATTTAAGATGACAGGCGTAACAGCATACGTGAGAGTCAAACAGAGAAACTGTAAACAAAACGACCATCGGTTTTATTGCTTCGACTTCCGCTTATTATATAAAACATTGGGTTTTATTTTAATTCTTGACGGTGAAATTCACAATTGGTTGATTATAAACATGTCTATTTCACATTCGCGGAACCAAGTGAACGCATAAAACAAATGCAGGTCTGTAATGTTAAAGTCGATGTAAATAAGCGTGCTACCCTTATGTTTCAACCGAGTTTTTCCTTTAACAAATTTTATGTCTACCAAATTGGGTTGGTTGGGGTGTAATACTAATAATAAGTGTTGCCTTTAATTTAATCGATAAAATAAATTGACTTCATTAATTTTTTTGAACCACCTCTTAAGAAAATCTAAAAAATATGAATGGAATGATAAATCACAAGTACAAACTCATCATATTTTTTGCATTTTAGATAGGATTTATTCAGCAAAGTTTAAGGGTGACGTCATCAATTTTTTTAGGAGGGATGAACAAATACATTTTGAACAAAAGTTTACCATGCTTATAATAACTTTAAAATATTCCCAAGATTTCAAAGCATTCGGTTTTGTAATTCCTGATTAAATCGATTAAATAAATTCACGCCTTCATTAATTTTTTTGAGTCACCCTGCATATGCAAATCCAAAAATATGAATGGAATGATAAATCACAAGTACAGACTCATCATATTTTGTACATTTTAGATACGATTTATTCGGCAAACTTTTGAGCTGACGTCATCAGTTTTTTGTAGAAGATAACCAAATATATTTTGACTAAAAAATTATTATGCTCTTTATAACCTTAAAACATCTCCAAGATTTCAAAGCATTCGGTTTTGTAATTCCTGATTAAATCAATAGTTCTTGATTAAATCAATAAAATAAATTTACGCATTCATTAATTTTTTTGAGTCACCCTGTATATGCAAATCGAAAAAATTTGAATGGAATGATAAATCACAAGAAGACACTCACCATATTTTGTACATTTTAGATAGGATTTATTCAGCAAAATCTTGTGGTGACGTCATAAATTTTTTAGGGGGGACGACCAAACACATTTTGATCAAACATTTACCATGCCTATGATAATTTTAAAATATCTTCAAGATTTCGAAGCATTCGGTTTTGCAGTTCCTGAGTAAATCAGTAAAATAAATTTACGTTTTCATTTATTTTCTTGAATCACCCTGTATATGCAAATCCAAAAAATATGAATGGAGTGATAGATCACAAGTACAGACTGATCATATTTTGTACATTTTAGATATGATTTATTCGGCAAATTTTCGAGCTGACGTCATCAAGTTTTTGGAGGGGATAAGCAAATATATTTTGACTAAACATCTATTATGCTCTTTATAACCTTAAAACATCTGCAAGATGTCAGAGCATTCCGTTTTGTAGTTCCTGATTAAATCAATAAAATATATTTACGCATTCATTAATTTTTTTGAGTCACTCTGTATATGCAAATCCAAAAAATATGGATGGAGTGATAAATGACAAGTACAGACTCATCATATTTTGTACATTTTAGATATGATTTATTCGGCAAACTTTCGAGCTGACGTCATTAAGTTTTTGGAGGGGATAAGCAAATATATTTTGACTAAACATTTATTATGCTCTTTATGACCTTAAAACATCTGCAAGATTTCAGAGCATTCGGTTTTGTAGTTCCTGATTAAATCAATAAAATATATTTACGCATTCATTAATTTTTTTGAGTCACCCTGTATATGCAAATCCAAAAAATATGAATGGAGTGATAAATTACAAGTACAGACTCATCATATTTTTACAGTTTAGATAGGATTTATTCGGCAAACTTTTGAGCTGACGTCATCAATTTTTTGGAGGGGATAAGCAAATATATTTTGACTAAACATTTATTATGCTCTTTATAACCTTAAAACATCTGCAAGATTTCAAAGCATTCGGTTTTGTAGTTTCTGAGTAAATCAGTAAAATAAATTTACGCATTCATTAATTTTTTTGAGTCACCCTGTATATGCAAATCCAAAAAATATGAATGGAGTGATAGATCACAAGTACAGACTCATCATATTTTGTACATTTTAGATATGATTTATTCCACAAACTTTTGAGCTGACGTCATCAAGTTTTTGGAGGGGATAAGCAAATATTTTTTGACTAAAGATTTATGATGCTCTTTATAGCCTTAAAACATCTGCAACATTTCAAAGCATTCTGGTTAGCAGATTAAAAATTAAATTTCAAAATGTTGTTTTATAATTTTGATTTTTTTTCCAAAAATCTGGACGTTTCGGGTGAAAGGTCGATTCAGAGTTGTTAACTACATGTGTAGGACTATGTTATTTTATACAATTGAAAACCCATTTACTATGTACAATTTTGAAGTGACGTCGTCGCATTAGTGGTGGGGATGATTAGACAAATTTTGGTTAGCGTTTTACCATCTACATGATATTCTTAATATAAATACAAAATTTCACAACAATCAGTCGAGTACTTTCGGAGATTATCTGTCTAATAAAAATCCGGGACGGCAGACGGGTAGACGGACGGACAGACGGACAGACGGACAGACGGACAGACGGACAGACGGACAGACAGACGGAAATGGGAGACCTATTTCTTCGTCTTCTAGGGGTCATGAAAGATCGAGAAAACGTAAAAGTAGAGAGTCGGCCGACGGACTCGATTACAATACTTCCTTTGCTTACGCTCGGGAAGTAAAAACACTGGGTTTCTAAATGTATTGGAAAAACCGTCAGATGTGCAGAATGACCAGCAAATTGAAAGTAAATATAATCTTGAAGAATCAAAAGAACATCCAAAGGAAGTAAAAGAAAGTCAAGTAACAGGAGCAGTTTCTAATCGCGTGTACCGCAATTATTTTCTTGCTGGTGGGCCTTTCTTGATAGGTTTCATAGTCATATTTTTACACGCTATGGTCCAAACTATCGCCGTTGGTGGAGACCACTTTTTATCATTTTGGGTCAATTTAGAGCAAAATAACGCCACCAGCCGCCACAATTTTTTAACAACAGATAACTGTCTATATATTTACAGTGGTTTGACACTACTTCTCGTCATTATTGCGCTCGTTTGTTCTCTTTGCTTCTTCCGGTTCTGCATTACAACATCTACAAATCTACATAACAAGATGTTCCGCAAAATCGTCTCCTGTTCAATGTATTTCTTTAACACAAATGAATCAGGAAGAATTCTTAACAGATTTTCTAAAGATATAGGATTGATTGATGAGAATCTACCTTTGTCAATGATGGACACTTTTCAAATCTCCCTTAACGTGTTAGCGATAACTGTCATCATTGCCATTGTTAATCCATGGATTTTAGTACCCACAGCTATATTGTTTGCGCTGTTTTATGTTTACAGAAAAAATTTTTTGGCTAGTAGTCGTAACTTAAAACGCATCGAAGAGAGAGGTGGGTACCTTATTATCTTCTAATAGTAAGTAGTATTAAAATCGTGAATATTGCAGCTCGCAGTCCAATTTACTCTCATGTGACTTCCTCTTTAGAAGACATTTCAACAATCCGAGTTTTTGGGGCCAAACCAAGTTACAAGACGAATTTGACGAGCGTCATGATTCACACAGCTCTTCGTTTTACATGTTTCTGGCTTGTGACGGCGCGTTTGGTTTTTGGTTGGATCTTTGTTGTGTTATCTTCCTTGGAATTGTAACATTCTTTTCATGGGTTCAGATAGGTAATTTGCTTATATGTTTAGTTGAAATTGATTTCTTTTATGCAGAGAATTATGGTGCTAACATGGGATTAGCGATCACCCAGTCGATTATGATGACAGGCCTGTTACAGTGGGGAATGAAACAATCCGGACAACTAGAAAATCAAATGACTTCAGTAGAACGAGTAGTAGAATACACCAAATTAGAACCTGAGTCTGATGAAGGTACAAAACAAACACCAAAAGAATGGCCAACCAACGGTAAAATCAAGTTTAACTGCGTTTCGTTCCGATATTCATCTCAAGATCCCTGGGTACTTAGAAAACTCATCTTTGATATACGCGCGAAAGAAAAAGTAAGAATTGTTGGACGCACAGGTCCTAGAAAATCTTCGTTAATTGCAGTCTTATTCCACCTGGTTCCATATCAAGGCGATGTTTTTATTGACGACATGAACACTAAAACTATACATTTGGAGAGTTTACGTTCCAAAATTACCATCATCCCTCAAGATCCAGTACTTTTTTCCGGTACTATCAGGTACAACTTAGACCCGTTCGATGAGTACCAAGATTCTCAATTATAGGACGCTTTGGAAGAAGTTGAAATGAAAAATTTAGTGTCGGGTTTCCCAGCTGGTCTGTCAAATAAAGTGTTAGACGGTGGTGCCAATTTCAGTGTGGGTCAAAGACAACTTTTGTGTTTAGCTCGAGCTGTAGGCAGAATGAATAAAATTTTAATTCTGGATGAGGCTACAGCTAATATTGATCCTCGAACTGACGAACTAATCCAAAAGACAATTAGATCGAAATTTCGGGAATGTACTGTACTAACAATTGCTCATCGGTTAAATACGGTTATGGATTCCGACAGAATTTTGGTGATGAGCGATGGTTGTGTTTTTGAGTTTGATGAACCTCGTAGACTTCTCGAAAATACGAATGGAGTTTTCTACAGACTGGTGAAACAGGCTGGAAGTGACATCTAGCAGTTTTAAACAAATTGTACGAGGACATATTTATTAATAGATATATAAATTGCTTATTTATAATTTTTTTATACAAACTATACTACGTTCATTTTCCATATTAATTGTTTGTTTCAAACTGTATCATAACAATAAATGAAGATATAACGGTTCCCAACACATCTAATAGCGTTGATCTTGTTATCGCAAAAAATTTTGCCGCTAATACTGTGGGAAAATTATTCAGTACAAAATTTGCGAAGTGTCGCAAGGAGTTTTTGAGTTCCTTTTCCTCTGCAAAACGTCTCATGTAAAGGGAGACATTGATTATATTTTCTGCTTCTTTAGCAATTGCGTCACTCATTAGAATCATCGACGTTGTACTAATCTAAAAAAAAATAAGAACGTTATTTATCCTAACCAATAATTTGAACGTTTACCACATTAAGTGAAACGATTAATATATCTGACGAAACAATTTTCCACACCAAAGGATATTCGTACTCTCTGCTTGACATAAACAAATAGTGTAGATAATTTAATAACTGTAGACCCAATAACACTATTATTAGAACCATAGCCCAGCCAAATATTTCATTAAAAACATTGACAGTTTTCTTTAGGGCATATATGGTGCTCTGAATCTTTTTTAATATGTCTAAAACTTGCTTAACTTTAAAATTTCCTTTCTTCATTTGATCCAATTTTTGAGCAAGAATTGCACTTAAATGTTTGTACCTTGACAAAATGATATTTAAAATTAAACATAGTAAAAAATTATACAAATAAACGTAGTAGAATTGCAACAGTAAGATTCCATATCCTGCTACATAATTCAAAATAGTAACTTGTGAGAAGTTATAAATTGCATATGCAGAGACAAATATATAATACAACTGCGACATGAGAAAACCCAAATAAAAAGGAAATTTAGTCCTAGTCTCTTGGTTTCGTATGAAATTATTTTTTGTCGGTTGTAGTTTTCGTATTAAAGTGATCCACTGACTAGTTCTGAAAAAAATCGGACTTAAAACAACATATAGTTGAAAAATCATGAAACCGATGTCTATTAGAATGCAAACAGCTGCTTTAATGTGGAGAACCCCACGATAAAAGTTTTTTTGTTTTAATGAAGCGGCTGCCCCCAAAAATACTGCTATTATAGTAAAAATAGAATACAGTTTTTGCCATATTGATATTTTGTTAATATCACAAGGAAGTGTAATACCCAAAAATTTATAATATTTGAAAATGAGCTTCAAAAGTCTCAGACTCATTTTTTATTTACAGGTAAGCAAATACTTACTTAAATTAGACAATTGTATCGAAATTCGATATGAGTACATATTTAACGAATTTAATGAATGTTTTGGTAATGGCTCTATCTAATGAATTAGTTTTTAATTTCGGTCTGAAATTTGATGAATACATAAATATATACAAACAATCCGTTTCTAAAAACATAAAAATAGATCTGACTATTTAATTAAACTTTATTAACATTGTGGACACACAATCTTTAATTTCAGTTTTATTCCGACTGACATCAACTCAAAGAATTAACACCATCCCTCAAGATTCAATACTTTTTCCGGTACTATCAGGTAGACCTCTTTGATGAGTACCAATATTCTCTATTATGGGACGCTTTGGAAGAAGTTGAATTGAAAAATTTAGTATCGAGTTTCCCAACTGGTCTGTCAAATGAAATGTTAGACGGTGGTGCCAATTTCAGTGTGGGTCAAAGACAACTTTTGTTTTTAGCTCGAGCAGTAACTAGTAACTCAAGCTCAAACTGAGATCCAACATCTAGCAGACTTAAACAAATTGTAATAAGTAAGTTTAGTTTATTAATTAATTATTGATTCATTTCTTGACACTTTTTCCATTTATCTATTAGCTTCAAATTGTATCATGACAATAAATGAAGATACAACAATTCCTAATACATCTAATAATGTTGATCTAGTTATAGCAAAAAACTTTGCCGCTAATACAGTGGGAAAATTATTCATTACAAAATTTGTGAAATATTTCTGTGTGGTCTTAAGTTCCTTTTCGTCTGCAAAGCGTCTCATTTGAAGTGACATATTAATTATGTTTTCTGCTTCTTTAGAAATCGAGTCGCTCATTAGAATCATCGACGTTGTACCAATCTGAAAAAAATTTAAGTATGTTATCAGATCCTAATTGAACCTTTACCGCATTAAGTGACACGATTAATATATCTGACGAAACAACCTTCCATACCAAAGGATATTCGAATTCTTTGCTTGACATAAAAAGATAATGTAAATAATTTAATAATTGTAAACCCCACAACACAATTATTAGAACCATAGCCCAGCCGAATACTTCATTAAAAATATTGACAGTCTTCTTTAAGCCATATATGGAGCACTGAATTTTCTTTAACGTGTCTAGAAGTTGTTTAACTTTACATTTTCCTTTCTTCATTTGCGCGTTTATACCTTGACAAAATGATATTCAAAATTAAACATAGTAGAAAATTATACAAATAAACGTAGTAAAATTGGAACAACAAGATTGCATATCCTGTTAGATAATTAAACAAAGTAACTTGTGACCAGTTATACAGTGCATAAACAGTCACAAATATATAGTATAATTGTGTTATGATAAAACCCAAATAAAAAGGAAATTTGGTCCTAGTGTCTTGGTTTCGGGTAGAATTAGCTTTTGTCGGGTGTAGTTTTCGTATTAAAGTAATCCATTGACTAGTTCTGAAAAAAATCGGACTTAAAACGACATATAGTTGAAAAATAATTAAACCGATGTCTATTAGAATGCAAACAGCTGCTTTAATGTGGAGAACCCCGCGATAAAATTGTCTTTGTTCTAAAGAAGCGACTGCCCATGAAAAAACTGCTACTATAGTAAAAACAGAATACAGTTTTTGCCATATTGATATTTTGTTAATAATACAAGGAAGCGTAACCCCCAAAAATCTATAAAACTTAAAAATAAGCTTCAAAAGTCTGAGACTCATTTTTTGTTTGCACGGATTATCAAATACAGTCAGCTTGTTTCAATTAGGTAGTTGTATCGATATTCGATATCGGTACAATACATATTTAATGAATAACTATTTTGGTAATCTATCTAATTAATCACTTTTAGATTTGGGTCTTAAATTTTATGAATACATAAATATATACAAACAATATTTAAGTCATCGGTATTAACATTCTTCGTCGTCTTCTGACTTTAATTACATAATAACTTTTTGACAAAAATAATAGCATACTGCAGGTTTTAGTTTCATAGCTTCAATGCATCATGTCACTTTTTTTCATTTAATGCCGATGGACGAACATTACCGTTCATTCATTTTAACTGCTGCAAAAAGTGTATAATTCGTTTCTTTCAAATAATTTATAATAATAGTATTATAACATTTATTGAAACATCATATATGTAAATACATATTTAAGCGGTGCAGATACAGTTAACTAATTTCAAATCTGAATCAATACAATACAATGCAATGCAGGTACAACTTGACCCAAGTCAGTCATGTTCGTGTAAATAAAAAATACAACTAGGTCCAAGACGGAGCCTTGAGAATTAATACAGAGAACATCTGGAAGAAATGATTTATTATTATCGTAACTGATATGAATACGTAATGACGACCTGTTATTACAGTATTTCACTAGTAGAGCCTTGTTTGTGGTAGTGAAGGTAAATTCCAGATCATAGAAAAACCTTTTTTTAAAGTATTTTTTTATTGACTTCTCTTGATTCCATATAAATTTCCTAGTAACTATTAAATAAACAACAGATGCAGTACGTAACAGTAAACTCGGCATTTCTTCCATTCTGCCGCCAATGGAATTTCTACTGTAGTAGAGTAGAGTCACAGGTTTAACCTGGCACGTTTTCTTAGTTTTCTTCCCAATTTGGTCACCTAGATCGTTTTGTCATCGTCCGTTGCGAATGTCGCTTCTGATCGATCGTATAATGAATTTCGACTGTCATGAAGCAACTTTCCGTCTTCATTTTCTATTTCTAATAGATATAACATTTGTACAGGACGTACTAAGTGACCTGAAAAGGCTCTTAGCTTAACAACTCTAATATTTCCGTCTTTGCGAGTTTCTTCTACTCGTGCTAATGGTCAATTTAATCGTTTCTCCTGGTCGTATTTTATGAAGATAAGATGTCTAACTTTAACTGATCGGGAAAATTTTCTTTTTTATTGTCTCAAAATCAGTTGTCCAAGATATTCATTTCGGAAACATAGCTGTAAGTCCATCTTCAATTTATTCTTGTACCGATGTCTTTTTCGAAGATGTACGGCTTCAATGTTGTCTAAACCTACTACACCAGACTGTTGAATATCTTGAAGAAACATCTTTGGTGTTAAGGGAACCAAATATAGGACGTCCTCTGAGATATATGTGAGTGGTCTTGAATTGAGCAAGGCTTTACAATCACATGGGAGAGTTTCAAGTTCTTCGAAACTTAGACATGCTCTTCCTAAAACTTTAAATAATGTTCGTTTTATGATGTGTATTAGTGTTTCCCACCAACCACCCCACCATGCGGCAGTTGGAGGATTGAACTGCTCAACTGTATCATCCAAGTTTTCTGAAGTAACCTTTTCGGCAGTAAAAATCCAAGTGGATTGACAATTTTGTTGCTGATGGACCAAATTAGCCTCTTTGTTATGCAACTTGTATCAACTTGTTTTAAATTTTCTAGACAGAGGTGTAGAGTGTCATCTGCTCTGGTAGTAGTATTAATTTATTATTTGCCTTACAGGCTTAATAAGATTCCCAGTAGGGGTACAAATTTACTAATCTACATACTTAATACAGATAAATCAATAAAATAAGAGTACATAAAATAAAGTAAATATTCGAGTTTTATATAATAATAATTGTTCTATTCTTTCTGCTTGCCCACCCCTTGCCTTAGTTCCCTTATCTTCCGTACTTTTTTCATCCAGTCCAGTCCTCTTCCATCCTTGTTTAGCACTTCTTCCCAACTTTCCT